TGTTTCCAAGATTTAGCTGTTATGAACTGTGCCACTGTAAACATGGCTGTGCATATAGCACTGTTATGCTTTTTAATTCTTTCAAGAAGATCAAGAAGAGGCGGAATAACTGGGTCAAATGGTACCTCTAGTTTTAGCTTTTTGAGAAATCTCCACACTAATTTCCACAGTGGTTGCACCAGTCTACACTCCCACCAACAGTGCAGAAGGGTTCCTTTTTCTCCACATCCCCTCCAGCATTTGTTATTGGTTGATTTCTTGATACCCATTCTTTCTGGAGTGAAATGAAATCTCAGCATTGTTTCAGTTTGCATTTCATGAATGGCCAGTGATGTCGAACATTTTTTTCATATATTTATTTGCCCTTTCTAATTCTCTATCTGAAAAGTATCTTTTCAGATGCCTGCCCATTTTTGGACTGGGTCTTTAAATTGGGAGGTATAATTTTTTTGAGTTCTTCATAATATATGCTGCATAATAGTTCTTTATCTGATGAATATCTGGTAAAATTTTTTACCCACATCATTCTCTTGGTGGCTTCTCTTGCTGTGCAAAAGCTTTTTAGTAAAATGAGTTCCTAATTGTTGATTCTTTGTATGGTCTGGGTTTTGTTCATGGTCTTTGCCTATTCCTATGTCCACAAGTGTTCTACCTATTCTCTCTTTCAACAGATTTTGTGTTTCCATTTTAATATTTAGATCTTTGATCCATTTTAATTTTAGATTAGTGCGTGCTGAAAGATAGGGGTCTAATTTCAATCTTTGGCACGTGGCAAGCCAGCTTTTCCAGCACCATTTATTAAAGAGGCTGTCTTTCTTCCAGTTATGTTGTTTGGGTCCTTTGTCAAAGATAAGGTAGCTGAGTATGTGTGGAGTTGTTTCTGCATCTTCTAGTCTCTTCCATTGATCCTCAGGTCTGTTCTTTTGCCATTACCATGCTGTTTTTATTATAGTAGCTTAGTAATATAAATTGAAATCAGGAATTGTGATATCCCCTGCCTTTCCTTTGTTGCCTTTGCCTAGGTCTCTTCTGGTTCCAAATAAATTTTAAGGTTGTTTTTCTAATTCTGTGAGATATGCTGTTGGAATTTTGATTGGGACTGCATTAAATCTGTAAACCAATTTTGGAAGTATGGCCATTTTCGCTATCTTGGTTCTTCCAAGAACAAGGGCTATCTTTCCATTTTCTGATGGAAAATCTTCAATCTCCTTTTTCAGAGTACTGTAGAGTTTTTTTGCAGGGGGTACTGGGGATCAAACTCGGGTCCTGCGCTTGCAAGGCAGAGTACTGTAGTTTTCATTGTAGATATCTTTTACTTCCTCTGTTAGATTGATTCCTAGCCATTTAATTTTTTTTTTTTGGATGCTATTGTGAAAGGGATTCTCTAATTTCTCTGTGAGTCTGTTTTGAATGCTATTGATTTTTGAGGGTTAACTTTGTATCCATCTGTGCCACTGAATCTAGAAGTCTTCTGGTGGAGTTTTTGGGATCTTCTATGTAGAATACCACGTCATCTGTAAATAACAATGATTTAACTTCTTCCTTTCCTATACTTCTTTTATTTCTTTCTCTTGTCTGATTGCTTTGTTTTCAGAAATGTATTGAACAAGAGTGGTGATGGTGGATATTCTCCAGAAGTTTTAAATTTTGAAACAGGGTCATGCTGAGTTGTCCAGGATAGCCTCCAACCTGTGATTCTTCTCCTGCCTTAGCCCTCATGGTAGCAGAGATTACAGGTGTACAAAACCTTGCCTGGCTATATTAGATTTTTATGTAGATTAGATTTTTTTCCCTTGTTATTCAGGGACATACATTAGATCTGAAGAAGAATGTCAGAACTATGTAACAGGCTTCTTTGTTTCTCTTGTAAGGATTCAATGAACCAGAGATAATAAATAATTATGCTTAAGTTCCAGTTGCAAATACAGTGGTAGAATACAAATTAAGCTCAGTTAATTTTGTGCAGTGTTATGGGGATATTCTATAGTGGAATGGGTTTGGTTTTCGAATCGTATTTTCTGTTCAAATCCTGGCTCAGCCCTGGCTGGCCATCTTTCTACCAGGAAAGTCACGACACTGAAAATTAGGTGCTATTTTCTCTTTTAGCAGCTGTTCTTGTAAACAGATTTTATTATCCTCTAAGTACTCCTTGGAATTGTGGCCACATTATTTTATATTTTTAAGTATTTACCCTTATAGTCAGTAGCTGATTAGGTGGACTACTTTCAAGATACTCTTTTATGTCTTGCAAGTCAGGGTCTCCTGTGTACCCAGTGAATAAATCATAAAAAAAGACAGCTTTACTCATTTGTTTTTTAAAAATCACAGCAAATAGGCTGGGGATTTAGCTCAGCGGTTCGGTGGCCTGCCTTGCAAATGCAAGGACCCGAATTCAATCCCTGGTACCAAAAAAACAAAACGAAACAAAACAAAAAAAACCCCACAGCAAATAGAATTTATTGTATTTAAATGCATTTTCTGTATACGACAGGTCTTCTGAATTACTTGTCTTACTTACTAGGTGAATTATTTCTGGGATATTATATTCTGTTGACAGAGCTTGCCTCTTGAGTTTTATGTAACATAGATTTACCATTCTTGAGGCCTTCTGTTTCCCCTTGTACACATTTTAAAATCAGTTCTTAATAGCTTAAAATGGGTGTGCCTGTATGTGCATGTATGTGTATACAGTTGTCCTGTGCTTTTTGATTTTTATTACCATTTTACTTTGTTGTGAAGTTACTAATGTTCAGGTACCCTAGGTTAATTGTGCATAGCTTTCTATGCACAATTATGAGAGACTGGCATAAAAACATCTTTTTGGGTTGGGGATTTAGCTCAGTGGTGCTTCTGCTTGCCTTGCAAGTGCAAGGTCCCGAGTTTGATCTCCGGTATCCAAAAAAAAAGAAAGATCTTTGTCTTTCTGTTCTTGTAGACTTGAGTATATGGTCCTCAGGAGGGGTCAGCCAGGAGTTACTTATATAAGATAGATACCTATTTGACAGGTGCAAACCAAAGCACATGCACATAAAAAGATTACAGAGCTTAATATTTTACAATGAGATTGAAACTAATTAGAAAATCCAAACTGTCTTAAAGGAGAAGGAATTTACTATTGTGTAAACTGAGAATACTGAGTTGAATCCAGGGCTCTAATAATATCATTAGGAATACTACTCTCTTCTGATTTATGCTGTTAGATTTATTTTTTGACAAACTTTCCTAAAGAATGACCGTAATAATAATAATAAGACTTCTGTAGCCACGTCCTCTTTTCCTAATAGCTTCAACCAAGGTTAATAGCATTAATGAATATAGAATTAAGTCTTTTTGGCATATTTTAGGTAATATTTCCTGAGCCAATCACTATGGCCTGAAAGTTGCCATGACTTGAGCAATTCTTGGCCATATATTTACTCCTAAATCTAGTGGTAGGGAAGGGATATGGTTAGGATTGGGATCATCTCTTTATGAGCCACATGTAGTCAAAGTCACGGGGGTAGCATTTTTTCCAAAGGATAATTAGGATTCTGTTACCATAAACTAAATCTATTAGAACAAGCATATTCATGATAGTGTGAAAGTCGGACAAACCCATGCTATTTTAGTCACAGGTGGTGAAAGATTATTACTATGCTAGATTCCTCATGTGCCTTAGATAAGTGGTTCTGAAATGTTTTTTGTATTAATGTTATATGGGAAGCTTTTAGTTATCTTGATGTGTGGCTGTATCAGAGATCAATTTAATGAGAATTTCTAGGAACATCAGAGAGCCTCTGTGATTATTTTTTGAAGTTCCTCAGTAATGCCATGCCATAAAAGGAGGTAGGCAAGGTTGCTATGCAAATGGGATTCAGAAAGAGGAGTATTAGTCAGATGGCAGAGAAGTTCTTATTGGAGAAACAGGATCCATAGAGAGAACAGAGGCCTCACAGAGAACCAAGAAGGACTTCTTGCGTGGGAGTCTGGGCATAATCCCTAGTCAAGAAAGTGATGCAAGAAGAGATTTAGAACTTGGGAACAACTTCCAAAAGAAGCCTAGTTTGAGAGCATCTGTCCAGTATCTTAAGAATTGAAATCTGTCCTTGACAGCTTTAATAGATATCTTTCCAGAGTTTAGGAGTCTGATTCATCAGTGGATTTTCCCCATCAGTCAGCCAAAACTGAAGAAAAATGTTTCACAAGGCTCACACATAGGGTCCTGGGTGACAGTTCCAAGGATGAACCTATTACTCTCTGAGTCATGGCACTGTAACCAGTGAAACATCATTGATAACTTGCTAAAGCATAATAATAAAGGCAAGCTTTATTTAGTGCGGTCATACGGTCATGGTAGTTGTCATATGGTCATGGTATTTACAGGAACCACAGCAATGGGATCTTGCTGTTGGTGAAAAGAGATTGGCTCAGCTCCATATATAGGATGAGCTAGTAGGAAGGTAAAGTCAGAAGCAGGATGGGATATCAGTGGATAAAAGTTAAGAGGTAACATCAAGAGCGAAGGAGATTCTGGCTAAACCAACATAACACTGTTCTTGCTGAGGACAGGCCACCGTGATCAGATGTAATCCAGGCCAGTGGTGGTGAACCTCTGGCATGAGTGTTACTGTGTTTTTCTTTCAAGAGAAAGATGTTGCTGTGTGAGTTTTTTCCAAATTAAAAGTTCAGTATTCAGGTTTAATCCCAGTGCTGGCACTTTGCGATAAATAAGTGGGTTTTGAGTTGCAGTTTGGGCCCTTGGTCTCTGATCTCTAAAAGGTTCACCATCATTGATCCAGGGGGTGGTGGAGGATAAGAAACCTAATCACATAGCAAGAGTGATTGAAGGTAGGGCATTTTTGGTAAACTGGGATTTTATAAGGAAATACATAGAAATGCCTAGGAGACAGTTGAGAAGCCTGACTAACATTTGGTCAAGGAAAGTTATGTTTAATGTCAATAGATACAATTTTTTTTATAATGCGTTTTTTCCTGTTTTTATGCTGTTTTGTGTTAAACAGGCTAATAGCTCGTCACCTTGCTAAAATCCATGCTATCCATGCACATAATGGCTGGATCCCCAAATCTAATCTGTGGCTAAAGATGGGAAAATACTTCTCTCTCATTCCCACGGGATTTACAGATGAAGACATTAATAAAAGGTAAGCTTGCTTTTATATTTGAAATGTTTTTGGTACTACTTTGTTTTATAAGGACTCAAAGATATCTACAAGGTCTGGTTTATCTCTCTGCATTAGAGTTAAAAAAATTTTGATTCTTTGATTTTCAGATGGCACTACAGAAATAACTGCCATCTACTCCTGCTCCCTTGCCCCAAATTAAAGAACCCTATAGTAGCAAAAGGGTGGACATAGAGGAACAAGAAGCAAACGCAGAGCATTTATTTGGAAATAATAATAAAGGTCATGATGAATGGGGGCATTTTTTTTATGAGTTAACCATAAAGATCTTTTTTAAAAAAAATCCTTTTTGTTCAAAGGTGATTTGAAAAGGCCTAGAGATGTATATTGAGATAGTGTAGTAATAAGAACTTGTGTTATTTTAGTTTACTAATCCTGTTTACATGCCAAATAGTGAGGTTGAATATTGGCTTACTGGATTTTCATCGTCGGGCTTTTGTGAGACTTGACTCCCAGGATCAAACAGACTATGGTGTTTCATTATTTCCTGTATAAAGAGCTTATAGATTAGTGTTTAAAATCTAAATCACATGAATGTTTTTATATAGCATGGTTGTTACTAATACCAAGCTGGACATTTTATTTTGTCCTTTACATCCAAATCATATGTAAAGGCTACATCATTGCATTTAGGAAGTCTTTGTTTCAAGAGCAACAGAGGCAGGCAAGACTTATAATAGACTTTCTTCTCCCTTGTCTCATTTGTCTTTTTATAATTTATTGGGAAAAGTAGTTCTTGAATTTGATTACTTAAAGGTTTAATTTGATGTACTCTGTAAAATCATCCCTCTGTCCAGACACTCTGCATCTATAGATTCAACCAACTGTGGAGGAAAATATTTGAAAAAAAGCCTGTATTGAACACATACATTTTCTTGTCATTGTTCCGGAAACAATACAGTATAAACAGCTACATGGTATTATGTTGTATTAGGTATTATTAGTAAGAGGTTCAGAGTGTAGAGGAAGATATTCATAGTTTGTATGTAAATACTGTGCCATTTTACATAAGGGTCTTGAACATGTTAACTATTGTTCAATTTTTAAATTCATATTTAGGCTCATTCTCAAGATTTTCTTTGTTTATACTTTTACTTCAGACATTGGTTGTTTTAATTCAGAGTATGTGCAATTAAGTGGGGAAGACTTACTCAAAATAGATTTTAATCCTTTATCAAACTTGAAAAAAATGTCATTAAGATAAACAAGGTACAACTCTTCTTTTGAAACTAAAAGGTTCCTAAGTGATATCCCAAGCTGTCGGATTCTTCAGGAAGAGATGACTTGGATGAAGGAGATTCTTTCCAACCTGGGCTCACCTGTTGTGCTTTGTCACAATGACCTATTGTGTAAGAATATAATCTACAATGAGAAACAAGGTAGGTATTTGACCTTAGCAGTAAGGAAAGGTTGATTTTTATTTTCTTAACGGTCTTTTGAACTTTATATGAATAAAAATAAATGTATTTCAAATATGAAGATTAAAAACATGCATAAAACCTTTAAGTATTTTCTTTTAGGTTATAAGGCTATGATAACTGTGATGAATTAGGAGTATACTGTATATATTTGTATAAAATATTTTTGAAAATTGGTTTGGTAGAAATAGCTATGGTTCCTGTTGGATATTTAAGTAATAAAAATGATGAAATGCTTTTGTTTTTATGTATAACTCTGAAACTTGGTTATTTATGATTTGAAAGTGTATCTGCTTGTAATTAGGGTTATGGAAAAATTAACAAATTGACATTGCACTGCTTTATTTCTGTTTTTACAGAAATTTTCAGACAGTGTTGGGAAATATGCTATTGTATTAGAAAGAAATGTATCTTTAGGTTTTTCATCACCTGTTTATTGTGTTGATATGTTGATGCTAAGGCAAGAGCCAGAGATGTGGAAATGTTTGTGGTTGCTCAAATTTCCATCTACTAAAGTAATAAGAAGCTTTTGTTAAATGGTTTTAATATTTTTGAGGTAGACATTGATCCTTTTAGGTGGAATTTTTTTGTGAATGTTGATAATTGTATTCAGATTTTGTTTTGTTTTTTTAAATCTAAGAAACATTTGGTTGTATTATGTCATTGGGTAAAGTGGTTTGAGGTTTGGTTGCTAAAGGATAGATGTCCTTCAAGTACTAAATTGACATTTAAAAATATACTTTGGTTAAAGGATTAATATTAATTTAAAGTGTTCTTGAAACTATGACACTATTGCTTTTCACAGGAAACTGATGTTTGAAGATAATCATAATTTAGAAGATCCTATTTTGAATCAGAAGTATGCTGTTGCAAATAAATATAAGCCAAATAATTCTCATTAACATGGTCATAATTATACTAAGTCACTACTTATGACCTTTATTACTGTAGTTGGGACTATTCTAATACAAAGTTTTAAAAATATTTATAGCCAGCTTTAACTGGAAAACTAACCAAAGGAACACTGTCAAGGGTTGAGTGTTGTTTGTATTTAATGTGGACTAGAAGTTATATTTTTAGAAATACTGAACTAACATCTTTAAGTTTTAATCATCGTGAAATTTTTGGTTGGAATCAGTTTTTATTTTAAAATTCAAGTACACCCTAAAATCTTAAGTACTTGGAAGTGTCTTTTAATGAATTATTGACCATTTATTATACATAATTGTCATAGTATATATGCATTCTATAATATATTAGTAACCAAATCTCAATGCCATTTGTGAGACAAGAACATCAGTTATGCAGTAAAACAGTGTATTAACTTTTAAATTCAGTGTAGGACCTAATAACACATTTTATATGATGGACTTTCAAGTGAGGGACTTCATCTTACATTTGAAGTGGACACTCAGCTTTATTTTTAACTGCAAGTTAATAAAGAGAATCTGTTATTTCTTTTGTTATGTAATTTAACTTTCCATATTTTTATTTTTATGTTTCTTTTGCATATTCATTTTATAGAACAAACTTGTTTTTAACACTAAGGGACCAAAAAAATCAGATTACTTTGTTTTAGGTATTTTACTTTTCATTTAAATAGTTGCCCATCTCTGAAGTATCAGTCAGCTGTATTAAAAACATGTACACACACACACACACACACACACACCCCAGAAGTTTCCTCAAGCATACTTTTGTATCTTTATTTCCTGCACAGGAGAATACATTCAACTCCACAAATGTAGCTATTTTCTTGTAGTTTTTAGACTTGGCCCTCTATCAGTAGATGTCCATTATGTGCCATTTGTTTCTTCTTGTCTTTGTGGTTATATTTGTTAGTTATGGAAAGATTGTGATTTTTTTCTCCTCCTCTCAGCATTTTATAATGTCTGTTAGGAAGGCTAATTTGGACCTGTAGCATCCATCTGAAAAAACTACATTCCTGTGTGAATAGTTGATACATCAGCATTAAGAAAATATGGTTACAATGTTCAGGTAAAATCTAAACTCAAGGAAGTAATGTTAAAAAGCTTAGTCTAATCTTTGGTGTCAGGTTTCATATTAGCTGATGATTTGGGGATAGTGGAGCTGTATGGCTTGAGTTTTTGGTTATAAGTAGAAGATAACATCCCTCATATTCTATAAATTTATTAAGTTTAATGTACAGAAGTTTCATATTTGACACTAGGGCACTGCATTGATACTTATTGCAGTGGTTTCAAAAAGGTTCTTTAAAACTTCAAATACAGATTCCATAATTATTTATCTTAACTGATTACCTTGTTATAGCATAAGAGCCAAGTTGAATCTTTTGAGAATTAAATAATTTCAAAATAGAATAATTGATTAAGCTACCAACTGTGTTCACAGACATGTTTCATTTATTGTTTCTCTTCAAGTAATTCATATGACTGGAGATTAGGACTTCCACCTGTTGGGATACAAAGAGATAGAAATGGTGAACGAAAGCCAAGGGACTGACCTTAACATCTGTAGTGTAATTCACTCTCTTCGTTTCTCAAAAGAGTATTTTACACAAATTCACTGAATTTATACAGGATCACCTTGAAGTCTCTACATATATTTTCCAATCAAAATAATTTAGTTCTTATATATTTTAGTCTAAGCAGTTTTCAAAAATAGATGTATTAACTTAGGTATAACCAAGACAAGTTAGAATACAGATTTTGGAACCAAGGACACTTTAGTCACTTATAGAAGTAAGTGATACTAAGCCAAATATTTTATCTCTTTAGAAGTACTAATTTTTGAGTTTTGACTATTTGAGATCACTTACTTGTTTTTGGAAAAATGTAGATTTCTGGGTTCTGACCAAGACCAACTAACAAGAATTTTTGTAGATAGACTGAGAAATCTGTATATTTAACAGATTCTCAGGCAGTAATGTGATACTGTTGGTATTGTGCTTAATTTTGGTTTATCTGTAATGTAAGATAATAGCTATCTCAGTTGAAGGCTGTTGGGATTTTAGATCATGCCTTTACAATGCATAGCTTGCTCCACATACTTAACCACTGTCAGTGTAGCTATAATATACTAAGCATATTACAATTTTTTTGGTAAGAAATGGAAATTATACATCTTTTAGACTGTGGGCCATACTGTGGTTTCTACTGAAATTTTTCAACTCTGTGTTCCAGTGTGAATATAGCCATAGACACTCCATAAGTGAATGATGTGTCTGTATTCAGATAAGACTTTACTTCCATCTCTCTCTCTCTCTCTCTCTCTCTGTCTGTCTCTCTCTCTGTCTCTCTCTCTCTCTCTCTCTCTCTCCTCTCTCTCTCTGTTCTCTCTCTCTCTGTTCTCTTTCTGCCGAGCGGGCCAATGTGCCCGCCTTGGCTTTTTAATAAAGATCTCTCATACAAAAAAAAAAAAGACTTTACTTCCAGAAACAGGTAGGGAGCTGGATTTGGCCTGAACACACATAGTTTGCTAGCCCCTGGCAAACATAAAATATTATGTTCATTGCTGGCATTTATTGACTATATTAGATTATGAAAAGGTAAAAACTGGTTATAACTAGTAAAAGACTTACAAATAGATGAGAGTTCAGTTTGTCTTTAGGAGCAACTTTAGTTTCTATTTCAGTTGTAATTTCAATGATTTAAAATTTTTAAAGTGTAACTGTATGGGCGTGTTTGTATGTGTATATGCATGTTTCTATGTAGTGCACATGCACATAAAGACCATGCACACCTTACAGGGTCTGACGGGCATTGCAGGATGAATACTGCCTCTGCATGTTCTCACTCCTTCCGGGTTACAGGACTTTGGAGTGTGGCAGATGAATGGGTTTCTGTTTACAGCTGATAACTCAGAATATTCAGAGGTGAAAATTAGTGCATGAAATTCAGTGGTTGATAAACAGGGGCTTGTTTTAGTGAGATATTGTCCCCCCCAAAAGTAGGAAAAGAACACTTAATGAGATGGGATAGAATTTGGAGCAAATAAAAAAACCAAAAGCAGTAGTTCTTGCTCCAGAGCTGTAAGATTTGACAAATGTCTTTTAAATTAATCAATCACTAATTTAGTAGACCTTATAATAAATGAGTTGAAGCATTTTTTATTGACTGATATCAACTCTATTTTTTTTTTTTTTTTGGTACTGGGGACCAACTGAGCTAAATCCCTGGCCCTCAAATCTAATATTTTAACTTCAGCTAATCTTTTATTGACGTGTCAGAAGTAATTTCTAAAGCTTTTGAGTTTGCTATCTCATATCTTGATGCTTTTTTCAGAATGTTTCTTGTTCTGATGACTTTTGGTAGTTCTCCCCCTTCCATTTCTTTTAAAAAGCTCATAGAGGATCTAATAGTTGAGCACGCTGGCACATACCCATAAATGCAGCTACTTGGGAGTCTGAGGCAGGAGGACCACAAGCTTGAGACGAGCTTGTGCAACTTAGCAAGACCATGTCTCAAAAAAAAGGAAAAAAAAAAAGCTGTGGCTATTGCTCATTCGTAGAGTACATGCCTAGCTTGTGTAAGGTCCTGAATTTAACCCCCAGCACTGGGGGGAAAAAAAAAATTAAAGAAAAAACAGCTACAATGGAGATACCTTTTTTCTTTGAAAAGCAAAAGACAAGAAGCTGATTTATAGCTCTTTAAGGAAATACAAAGAAGAGGAAAAGGAAAGCTTTTTCTTGGATTTATAGAGTAAACCATTTTTTTTTCTTTTTTAAAACCAGGTTTTTAAAGAGATTTACCCAGTATAAATAGAAAATGGATGAGTCATCATTTTTAGTCACTTAATTGGCTATGTTATCCACTCTATTAGTGTAAGGCATTGTTGATTTAAAATGTTTTTCATTTTATTTTAAAATTTAAATAAAGGTCAGTCTTACTAAGAGGTTTATGGATGACTCGGGATATTCGTGCCAGGACTTGTATGGTCCTGTATAGAACTAGCCTTGAGAAACATTTACTTATGTAAGCAAATAAATATGTTTATGGAATAACTAAAGTATATATCTGACCATAGAAATGTGTTTGTGTATAAAGAGGAAATGTATTCATATTTATTTGTAGCTGTCTACCTGCTTGGAGTGCCTCCCTAAACTCAGCAGAAGAAAAGTCACACGCACAGTATTTGATACAAATGCATACAAAACCCAAAAAAGTATTTTGAATAAATGAGTATACATACCTCTTGACCTGTTTTTCTTTTCTCATACATTATGGAAATGTTCAAACAAAATTTAAAAGAATTATAAAGTGTGATATCCCATGTGCCTGACACCTATATTCTAGAATTATTGACAAGTTTGTGCTTTGTCACATCATCCCATCTCTCCATCCTCAGTTCATCTTACTACTTTTTAAAAAATGTATTTCAGAGTGACTTGCAGGCATCAGTGACCTTCATGCCTCAGCACTTCAACATGAATAACACTGAGTTCAGGATTTTGTTGTAGTGTAATGTTCAAGTCTTATGCATGCCAAGTTGGACACAGTGGCTGGCGTGTGCCTCTACTCCCAGGTACTTGGAGGCTGAGCACAGGAGTATTTAGGCCAATCTGGATAACCCTGTCTCCTTTCAATGAAGCAGAAAATCTTAATTCAGTGAATTTTGAAAAATGTGTACATCCTATAACTGAAACACCTGTAAAAGATATAGAACATTTTCATCACCCAGGAAGTTGCCCATACTTTTAGAAGGATAATCTAATCTTTTTTTTTTTTTTTTTCCTTTTCTTTTCTTTTGGTACTGGGAATTGAACTCAGGGCCTTGTGCTTGCAAGGCAGGCACGGTGCCACTGAGCTAAATCACCAGTACTGGACAATCTAATCTTAACCGTGGATTAGTTTATAACCTGGACCACTAGTTAGCAAAAGATAACAGCCTCCTTGGAGATAAGAAATCTAAATGAATTTAACAACTCTGAATGACCTAATCTTTTTTTTTTTTTTTTTTTTTTTTTTTTTTTTTTTTAAACACATGCATCGGGCCCATTGTATTTAGTTACATATTTGGATACGAATATCAGAAAATACCACACTTTTTCTTTGGCATTTTATGCAATATTTATATTGTGCCCTCTGCCTTTAAGCATATATCCTTATTACGTCTCAGCTTTCTTTGCTAAACCTCTATTTATTCCACTAGTCTTTGAATCCTTCCCATGTTGTAGGCATTAATTGCTCTGTGGTTTACATGATGAAAAATGAAAGGAACCTTACTGTCCCACCAGGAAGCTGTGTATCATGTAGAAGAACAATCAGATGGCAGAACAGTCAGAATGCAGAGGACTCTGTTGCACCACAGAACATTAGGAATGAAGTGTCCCAGACCAGAATACTCTCTGCCTTTCCCTTATAAGGCAGAAAACTTTGGTTAACATTAGTATGACTATAGTTACTTTTCTTACTATTCTCTTTCCTCTCACACAGCAGAACAAATGAGTTGAAAAGATTTTTAAGTTTACAGATTGACTATTTTACTTTTCATTTTTATTCCTTTATCCTTGAGAATAAAATAAAAGAATCCAAAGATTTGTTATATGATAAAACTGTATAGGCTTAGGTAATGTAGTAGTGTTTTTGGCTTTAAAATTCTTTTAAAATCTGAAGACTTTTTAGAATACTGAGATTTACAATTTAACTCAGTGTGTAGATTTTTATTACTTTAGTGAAGATATGAGGGAAAATTCAAATTATCATTTTATCTGTTAATCATATCCTTTTTCCATTATGTGTTTGTCATTGTGCTAATTATATAAAGATAAAAGTCAGTGCTAGACTTTAGGGAATTTTTACTTCTTAGAGGCCAAGGATCCCTTGAGAATCTTGCAAATTATGACTCCCTCCTTTAGAAGTAGTGCACATGCAACACTGTAGGGAGTAGTTTCATTGTCCTCCACCCTTGAAACCTCAGTGCATGGAAAATTTTTGGAATTAAAAGCTACATTTATAGGAGAAAAGTAATGTTTTCCTTTCGATAGAAAAGCATTTTCCAATACTGTAATTTGATTTTTCTGGCACCCTAAATAAGGCAGTAAGCCTAATTTTACTTTGCTGCAGAAGATTAAATTTAAGGTTGAGTTCCACTTTGTAATAATTTGAAAAAGAATAGTTAATAAAGATTTTTTAAAAGAAAATTTCTTTCCTTTTAAGCTTTGTGTCTTGTAAAATGTGAGTTTGCCAAATTTTCTTCATCTGCTACAGATTAGGTATGCCATTGTTGCTGCCATGTGGCGGCGCACCCCGTGCTTCTTAAACGCACTGACTGGAGGTTTATCGCATCACTTGTTCACATGCACGGAGCCTGGTAACAGCCTCATCTGTATCTTGTTAGCTTCATTTTCTTATTTTTAAAATTTCATTATTTATAAACTCAACATAGCATTTAAAAATAAAGGCTAGTTTTAATGAATTAATGTTACTACAAAAAGTCGTTGCTAAAATTGTCATGCTGAAACAGATTTTAACTTTTGTTAAAATGATCTATGTTTTAATTAAACTGTATTTACAGGCAGGCATGTTTTTACCTGCCATTTAAACTATATTTGCCAAATTCTAACTATAACTTGAAAATTAAAACGAAGTTGAAGCTTTTATTTATGTGGCAAAAGTAAGCTTCAGGACTGGGCTGTGTATTTTTATTGGCTTGTAACAGTAGATATGAGCTCTACAAGAATTTGTGTTTAAAGAGCTAATGCAATCAACAGCTGCAATGTTAAAAATATGTATTAAAACTGTTTAGTAGGCTCAGTTGTGTGCTTGATAAATTTTGTGTCCTGATTGAAGGCTTGTGGATAGGTATTTCTAAGTCATTGTGTTTGGTCTTTTACTTATTAACAGTTTTATGTAGAGGATTCGTCTTATTTTTTAAAATAGCATTTTCCTCTGAAAAAGAAATACTGAAAATAATTTAAAAACTAGAAAAATAAAAGGAAGAAAGTCACTTGTCTGATACTTGAAATGAAACCAACTGAAACATTTTGTTTTTATTTCCATTCATCTTTTTTTCTCCTGTGCAGTATGTTTCTTTTTCTTTGTAGGCATGTTTTAATAATTTGGATCACATTGTGTCAACTAATTTAGTATCCTTTCCACATGGCATTTTAAATTCCTTTTTATTTTTGAAAATGAGGTGTTTTTCATGGCTTTGATTTATTTGATTTTCATGGCTGCAAGTACTTTATCATGTGGCATTCCTTGTAACTTCTGCCATTCCTTGTAACTTCTAGAAAAGAAGTTTTAAAACATAGTCTGTTCTGACTTCCCCTTGTGCAATTCCATACAGTGATTTAGTTAACAATAAGAATTTATGTAGAATAATGTTCTGGGGATGCAAGAAAATAATAATTGGGGTTAAAGCAGTGATGGTTTATTCTCACCAGCGTTTTAAAATACTACATTTACTGTAATAGTATGCATTTAGTTTTGCTAATGAATATATTTTGGTCCTTCTCACTTACACTGTAGGTGTGACTTTCTTTTCCGGTGCTGGTGTGTGAGCCCAGGGCCTGTGTGTGCTAGTGAATGCTCCATCACCGAGCTGCACATCATCAACATGTTACAGTTACGCACACAGCTTTAGGATTATACTAAATAGTTATATATTTAAAAAAATAAAGGTACTGCTTTTATGTAAAACCCTACATGTGCCATGACTTTTTTGTCATATAATGCTTTTTTTCTCTGTGCTTGAATATAGCCAATGTACAGTACTTCCCTGAATTAAACATACAAACCTGTATCAAAGCATTATAGTTCAAAGTTTTTTTTATTTCAGAAATGCCAATGTGTACAGCGTGTCTGTTTTGTTACCTCACAGGTAGGGCAACTGCAGAATTGTTACATTTTCTCAATGTAAGCATCTTAGAAATTGTTTTGTAGTCATCTCCGTTCCTATATTCATTTTTAACTTCCTACCCCTGTAAGTCTTTGAGTATGTGATCCTTAAATGTAGACAGTGACTCATGTTAAATTTTTAAAAACATCTATCCCTGGTATAGACAATGATATTACTTTTTTAAAAAGTTACTTTCTTTTTTCTTTTTATATAGAACCTGCATCTTGTCAGATTAAGCCATACTCAAAAGTTAAAAGTCCCTAAATAAGAGTATTTAACTTGTCCAGGAAGAATAAGATTATCTTTGGAGAATTGTAATGAAATATATATAGTATATATGTAGCAAAAATTAGAACAGGAATCAGCTTATGCAAAACTTTCTTAAATTTATAAATAAATATTATAAATATGTCATTCTTTTTAAAAGGTGAAATTACCACCTTAATGTTGCTCAGTTATGGAAACCTCAGTTATGTAGCTTTGTAGGGAAATAGAAGAATATGGATGGTAGGAATTAACTTCTTAAATTGGTGATACTGTTAAATTCATCAGCAAGTGTTAATAGCATTTCTCTTCAGGTTTACAGAATTCAAGTCTTTGAAATTTTGTATTTGATTTTTGTATGTGGATAAGCTTATCAATTTACTGTTAGATATCATAGATTAAGTTTTTGTTAAAATGGCATAGATATAGTTATTATTAATTAAACTTGAAGTTTTAAGTTACTGATGCCCCCATGTGGTGAAAAATACTTACTTTTGTTAGAATCTGGAGAATGTTTATTTTTCCTTAATAAAATGGTCATTAGTATTTATGAGAAGCTGTTGATCAAGAGACAGTTATTTGAATTTTGTAAAGCTCATTGCCATAAAATTCACAGCCTTACCCTGTATTGTCTCAGAAGTGCATGTAACCAAGCACATCCATTGAGACAAAATATTGGAAGCTATTTAATTACAAATAGCATAGGGATTGTCAGATCTTATATGTGATTTCTTAATATCTTTATGTTTGTGTCTCACATAGGTGATGTACAGTTCATTGATTATGAATATTCTGGATACAACTACCTGGCATATGATATTGGAAATCATTTCAATGAATTTGCAGGTAAGATCCAAATCCAAGGCTTAAATAATGGAATAATTTATTTAACTTTGAAATACTTTCAGAATTATTTTTTCTTCTTAAAAGATCAGCTGGCAGCATCCACAACTCTTTGTACTTCTGCTGACCCTTTTTCTTTGTTTTTGTTTACTTCTGGAAGAAAGAGATTACCAAAATTTCTTCCATAATTGAGTTCAGAAAATAATGGTTAGGAGGAAGATGATGCTTGTGGTTTCTTTTGAGACTTTAAGGTGTTAAGAGTTGAACCTAATTATCATTTAGAACCCTTTGGTGTGGTTGAAGGGTATAATTCAGTGGTAGAGTACTTGCTAACATCTTGAGGACGTAGGTTTGATCCCTATCTCTGAAAACAAAGACCAAGATGTTTCTGTTGTAAACTTGTATTTGGAAAAAATTTTTTTTAAAAAGTTCAAGATCTTAAACTTTTGGTTGTGATTATTGAAAGGTTGGTAATTTTTACTTGAGTATTAATCTATAGTCATCTTCATATACAAAAGTTAATTGCTTTTATGTAAGTGGAATTAATTTAAAACTCATTTTAATGATCTGTATTTAGAAACATGAAATGTCCTATAACTAAGGATTAGGACATTTCCTTGAATAGTTTATACCTAATAGAAATATTTCATTTCTACGAATTTGTATTTATGCACAGTCTTGTGTTCATGTATTTTTATATATTTCAGGTCTGCAAACTGGGAAATAAGTTTGAAAAATTTTTGACTGACATCTTGCCAGTTATTTTCCTCCACTAAGCTTATTATATACATGTCATAACTTCACATATGTGCTGCATTTTCTTTTACTTTTTTTTTGTGTGTGTTACCTGTTGGGAATTGAGCCCTTTATATTTTTGGGACAGGATATCTTGCAAAATCCCTAAGTTCCTCAGATTGGGCTTGATCTTGAGACCCTCTTGCCTCAACCTCCCAGAGTGCTGGATAAATAACAGGCCTGCAGCCCCATACCTGACCACTACACACACACACACACACACACACACACACACAGAAGGGGAACTGGCTGTACAAGGTAACAAACACCTTAGTAACATAGTCAAGTGCTGTAGATATGAAAGAACTACAGTGATCTTGAACCAGTTTTATAGAGAAAAAATTTGAAAATTAGGTAGAATTTGGATATTCAAATATAAGAGAAAGGAAAGACACTACAGGGAAGTGGAGGGAAAGTTTTAATATGAGTTCCCTTTGTAGGTACAGTATAAAATTGCTGAAGGAGAAGAAAAAGTTGTAAGACTAGAGATAAGTTTAGAAGATAAGTTTATGAAGTACCTTGAATGCCAAAAAAATAAAAATAAAAATAGACCTATATCTTCTAGATTTGTATTTTTCAAACTGTAGATCATGAGATCTAATTTGTGGGATAATTAAGGAATGGAAAAGAACAGGAATAGAAATATCAGAGTTGGAAAGTAGAGTATATATTGTACATGTATAAAGTCTCAATATAATATGTATTTCGTACCGTGATTCACATTCAAAAAAATTTGGAGCCACGGTTTGAGGTTGTGCTCCAAACTGCTCTTAGTATGCTGAAGACTGTTCTTGGGGTACCTGCTGAAGGGCAGATGTAGGGCTTTAGGTATAGGTGGTTCAAGCTACACACTGTGAGGGAAAATCATAGTAGTGAGAATTGATTATGGTCATGAACGACAGTGTGCCTTAGAGGTTAAGCTGGAATACAGAATGATTTATAATTTTAGTAAATGCTGTTTAACATTGCAGTCAAATAATTTTGTTAGGTTAAAAAAAATGGTGATAGTAATGATGATTAAGGTATATAGAAGAGGTATATAGAAGAGTATGGTTTTTTTTAAAACGATCCATGTATTTTTTTCCTCTAAAGGTGTGAGTGATGTGGACTATAGTCTTTATCCAGATAGAGAACTACAAAGCCAGTGGCTGCGTTCTTACCTTGAAGCCTACAAAGAATATAAGGGTTTTAGGACTGAAGTTACTGAAAAGGAGGTGGAAATACTCTTCATCCAAGTCAATCAGTTTGCATTGGTAAGTTGCATTGTAAACAATTGAAGATTCTTAATATAATTTTAAAAGCTTCTACATTTCCTATTTTAAATTTTGTAAATTTTTGTTTGAAACAAGGAAGAAACACGATTATTTACAATTTACCCCATTGCCTTGCTTTTGAGAACAAAATTTTTGTTTCATTCACTCCTGTCTCCATAGTCCCTAGACTGGTTCTTGGTTCTATGGTAGGTGCTCAGTAATAATTTGTATAATGAGTGGATTGATACTAGGATCAGGATTAATATGTTAAGCTATTTCATATTATCTGCTTCTTTACATTATGAAAATACGTGTGACCGAAGGAAGATTTATGGGAAATTGGGTTTTCCATAGTACATTTAATCATCATATCCCAATGCTAAAAGTAGATTGGAAAAACTAGCTGCAGTATGTTTTCATGACTCAATCCATTGTTTTGTCATCGTGACCTTTCTTAATAAATAATTATTCCTCTTCCTCTAATAATGTTAGTGCTTTATTTTCACAACCTACTTCTCTGTTTTTCATTTAAATTTAAATTTCATTTAATTTTTATTTTTAATTTTGATACTGAGGTTTGAACCGAGGAGTTGCTCCACTGATCTACATCCCCAGATCTTATCTTTTCTTTGCTTTTTTTTTTAAGTACTGGGGATCGAACTCAGGACCATGCACTTGGGAGACAAGTGATGGAACCACTGAGCTTAGTCCCCAGCCCTTCAGATCTTTTCGGAGACAAGGTGTTGGCTAAGTTTTCCGGGTTGGCTTGGAACTTGTGATACTCCTGCCTCAGCCTTCTCAGTAGCTGGCATCACAGGCATATGCTCACCATGCTTGACTCATGTGCTTTTATATTTTAAAAAACATTTAAATTCTTCTGAGAATAAAGTGATAAATGAGCAAAGTGATAAATGAGCAAAGAGAAGAAAGTGATAAATGATTAAATTAATCGGTTAATTTGAGTACCAGGCAAAATTATTGTAGCTCCTTCTTTGTAAGTTTTAATCCAGTTTTGTACATATGACATGAGGAATATTTGCCCAGCTGTCTTTACAAATAGACCCTTATGGGGGCCCACAAATGTAGTCGTCCATAATCTGAACAGCAGCACGCATTTCCCCAGACACACTCAGAGAGCATCTCACATATGAGGGTATGCTGCACTGTGGCTTTACCTGCTGCTCTCATGCCTATGTTAGTAGAACTGTTGGCTCAATTAATGACATACTCTCTAGCCAGTCCAACAGTGGCTACTGTTTCTGTTTATTCTGCTTAAGTATAATCTTAAAGGAGAAATTGCAGGGTTTTCTTTCCTATTGGGTCATTTAAGGAACTTCAGTGTCAGTGCTTCTTTTTAGGTGATTTTTTTATGTTAACAAGGAAGATTATTACTGCTACAATTTTCATTTTTCTATGTGCTCATTTAATTTTTTAATTCGAAAGGCATTGATCTTTTTAATTTCTACTATTTCTTAATCCACTGTTTGCCTTTAGAAAGCTAATTTGCATTTATAAACATTTATGTTTAACATTTCTTTTTGGATACTATAATTATATCTGTACATGGTATTAAAAATACACTTAGTTCTGGTCTGATCACCAAGTTTTTCATAAATAATGCATTAATTAGGTATTAACACATTACTCCTCTGGGTCAGGTAGATTAGGAACAACATAAAGTATTCCTTCCAAAATGCTTATAATTTAGAAGGGTAAATGTACAAAATAACTTTTTGGGGGTTAATATTTAACTCCAATTTCTATTTTAAATTTTTAGCAAATTGGAATTAGGAGAAAACTCCTTAAACCTAATTTAAGAAAAAAAAATAAAAGCTACTATACATACATTTATAAAATGTGTCATATATTCAGTAGAAAATCTGATAGAAAAAGGATATGGGACATTTGGTAGAGACAAAACTTTAAAACTCTCACTAGTGTCCCTCATAGCATATCCTCTGAGTCTACATATGTTTGGTTTTTGAATAAGCGTTATATAGTCAGCTTATCAGACCCTATGAGGGTGTGATATCAACTTCCAGTTCTTTTTCATTCAGAAAGCATTTCATTTATTTAGCTAGTTTTTGTCTTAATTTCTGTTTTTTATTGTATCCAAATCTGTGATCCTTTGTTGTGTGCTTTTCTTACATCAGTACCTCCATTGTTAGCCTCAGGTAGAAAGAATATAGCAGAAAGTGCAGGGTAGCCTCTGTTTAACCAACAAGTTTACTCTCTTCTCTGACCAAGTCTTAATTTCATCCCCAGGAGCACCATTAGGTATATGTCACATCTCAGATGTCCAAGGTAATACTTTATAGGGAATGTAGAGTGAAATATAAGCAAACCCTGTCTTTCTTTATCATTTTTCATGCATGTCTTACAGTACTGCTGCAGTCTTAACCTTTTCCTTTACTGTAAAAAAGTATTGGTAAGGATGGCCAATAATGACATAATTGCTAAAAAGTAGTTTCATTTTAAGCTTAGTAGTCCTTATCTAATATAACCATGGATACCATTTGATGGTATCTGACTTGATGTGACGTAGGATAACATTTGACAGTATTTACCATTGATTCTGAAACTTTTCTTTTTTCTCTTTGTGATGCATTCCCATTCTCTATAGTGAAAATGAAGAGATGATCGAATGTCCCTTCATGAATCTCTGTTTATTACCATACAAGGAGAATTTTCTTTTCCCTCAGGCTCATAGTGCTTAAAGAGGAGGAGAACAATGTGAACATATCTCTCAGGGAGCGTGATCAGTAGATAAAGTGCATTTGCCACGTAGTGATGAGTGCCAGAATTATCAAGTGTAGTTGGTCAGTTAGGATGAAATGATAGGCTTCAGTGGAAAGTAAAGTCTTTAGATAAAGGTGTACCTTTTCATCAGTGGTTTTGTGGGAGGCCCTGGGTAGAGATAGTCTGAAGCTCAGTAGTGTGAAGAAACAAATTGGAATCATTTACAGAGGCAGCAGTAAAAGTCTTGAGACTAGATCACCAGGGAAAGTAGTAAAAAGTGAAAGGAGGGGGGTGTCCCCATTCAGAACACTAGTAATACTAACGTGTGAGAGGGCTGGAGGAAGAGAAAAAAGAAAAGAGCCAGGAAAGGATGCTGGGCAGGAAGGCACAAAAACAAAAACCACAGATGAATTTGAAATGTAGGTTTTGATTCCAAATGCTTAACTAGTCTGCCATGTGAATGATACATGTTTTTGTTGTAATAACTTGGAGTGCATTCCTGGTCCCTTCAAGAATGTGAAGAACAAGTTGGAGGATAGCCTGAGCAACTTAATCGAGACCTTGTTTCAAAATTTTTAAAAATGTAAAAAAGGGCTGGGGAGGATATAAGTTCAATGCAAAGGCCCTGGATTCAGTCCTCAGTCATGCGCGTGCACACACACACACACACACACACACCCCACACACACACACCCACCCCCACATATACACCCTCTTCAGTGGGAGACTTGCATATCCATAATTTCTGAATGTGAGAGAAATAATGCAAATAAATTACAGAATTAGTTTTTATTTGGATTTAATTTCACTGTTTGGAAATGCAACTAATGCATTGAGCTGAAATGCTGACTTTGTCTCTTCTGTTAAGAATCTAATATATGAAGACACTGTATAAGGAAAGAGTCTAATATATAACAGATCAGGTACCATTCACAGATGATATTGTGTCACTTAAAATATGCCATTGTGATTTAGGTTAGTGATTCTCAACTATTTTAATTTCAGGAACTATTTTTTTTGGCGGGGGGGTACCAGGGATTGAGCTCTGGTCCTTGCGCTTGCAAGGCAGGCCACCAAACCTAAATCCCCAGCCCTAGTTTTTTTTTTTTGTGTGTGTGTGTGTGTGTGTGTGCGTGTGCGTGTGTGTGTGGAACTTTTTTATACTTTAAAAAATTTCTGAAGGTCATTGTGAGCCTTCTTTGTTTATGGGAGTTAATTATCGGTATTTACCAATTAGAAATTAAAACAAAAATTCAAAGTGTTTACTGAATACATGTATTAAAATAAACTCATTACATATAAGATAAATATTATTTACTAAAATACAAGACTTCTCTGAAACAAATTTATTAAGAACATTATTTCTGCAGACTTCTATAGTGTCCACCTTCACTGAAGACGTACTCTGTATGTGCTCTACTACTGTCGGAGGACAGCGTTTCAGCTGAAGTATACGGAGGAAATAACTTCACATTCTTACGTTGTGGGAAAGAGTTTTTATCTTTTCAGATAATTGTGTATATTCTTTTTGATGTAGCAAAATTTGACAAATGTTGCAGTGTGTGATATGAACATAACACCTTTTTTACCCTGTTACCTTAAAATTCATTGGTTTACGTCAACAGGCTCTTACTTGTGCATTATAATAGAATCATTATTTTAATGTCAATTATTTGGGAAATATCTGTTCACTTAATTGTGTAGGTCTACCAGATAATGATGCACCTCGCATGATAGCAAGAACCCTACACATGTTGCTATCACTGCCACTGTCAACAGAAGTTGACAGCACTGTAGTGAGCTGTTAAAATCAGTATAACTTCTTAAATTCTATTTTTTAGGTGAAAACTTATTTTATCTTTGGAATAAATGCTATTAGTTATTTTCATTGAAATGGCAACTTCTCTTTATATTTAAGAAAACATGTACTCTAGGATAGAAATTTAATACAACTAATAGTTTTAATGGCTTTATATTAGTTTCAATTTCCAGCACCAGCCCCCCCCCAAAAAAAGTATTGTGTATGTGGTTGATGAGTAGGATAGAATTAACAGTTTGTTTTACAAAGAAATATCATAAGTCTTTGTTTTTCTTCCCTCCTTTTAAGGCTTCTCATTTCTTTTGGGGATTGTGGGCTTTGATTCAAGCCAAATACTCCACTATTGAATTTGATTTCCTTGGGTAAGTTTAATTTTTTACATGCATTCCATTTGTCTCTACTTTTATGTGAATTAACATTTAGAACTCATAGGAGCATTGTTATTAATTGATCATATTCTAAAGGCTGCATACATTTGATAATCTATAAAGAATCTGCTGTACTGAAACTTGTTCACTATTCTCAGTATTAGAAAACTGTCCAGTAGGTGGTGCAATAAACTAAAGATCTTTCCTTTGAAAACTATAAGAAAGTTTAGAAATTGAGTGGAAAATAAAGAAAATTAAGTTTTTTGGCTGTTACTAATTTTGTTGTCATTTTGTTTTCTTACTAGGTATGCAATTGTTCGTTTTAACCAGTACTTTAAAATGAAGCCTGAGGTTACTGCATTAAAAGTGCCTGAGTAAAGAAGAGATTTAATTAATTCTCAAGTAGCTGACCAATGGTTGTGAATTTTTTTCCTAAGAAATTCCAAAAAGCCAGTATCTGTTAAAATTCTGTTACTGAATTTGGTTATTTTGCTTTACAAATTATTCCTTTAAACAACCAATCTTATTATTTAAATAGACTGGATGATGTCAAGAAATATACCTATTGCTGTCAGAATGTGGTGGAGTAGAGATTTGTTAGATCTGCAAAAGGTATAAAGATGTCAGTTTAAGCCTTTCTGTCATAATTTATGTGATGTGGGTTATTTATTATAAATTTAACATGATTCTGTGACTGCTTTCATCACTTTCCTCTGTTAAGTGTATACAATGTGAGAGTGTTCTAGAGAAATGTTTTTAAAGTTTTATGTTAAGAAGATTGATTTTAGGAAACCATTCTGGTTGTTCATTGTAACCTTTTTAGTTGATTCACCATAAATGAAATGTTATCATTTGCTTTTGAAATGCCAGTCACTGACTTGTATAGATAACTTAGGATGGTCATAGGAAACAAGGTGTTTGGAAGGGAGAAATGCATTCACTGTCTTTGTTGGCGATACATCTTTTTAAATTGAATATTAGAAGGCCTTTCTTTTTTGGGGAATTCTTGTCTATATAGTCTGGCAATATAAACGTATTTACCATGTAATCTTGGAATAAGTATAATGATGGTTACCAAATCTGTATTGAGAAATGTATGCAAATGCTGAATGTGATTATTTAAGTTACTGTTTTGTTTGACCTTATTGATTTGTTTCTAACCAAAAATTTCATCTTACTTGATAGCTTTCTTTGTATTAAATAATAGCTTGTAATGCTAATTTTTCAAACAAATACACAAAATTTATCATACTTGAAAACAGAATATTGTTTAGATTAAATTTTTAAAAAATCTTCAGATTCATTGTTGATATCCTGGTTTCAAGTTTTAGTTTTTGTTGTCTTTAGTGTGATAGTGATGACTCGATACATGTAATTTCAGAGTAATATGTTGAGGCAGTTAAAAGAATCAAATAGGGAACATTTAGAATAGCGGTCTTATATACTTAAAATCTGAAAAAAAGTGAAATGTGAATTAAGCAGGAATACTTATGGTAGGAGGGCTTCTGTTGCTTTGATTTATTGTGTTTTTGTTTTTATATATTTTTTGTATAGGGTAAGAGGGAAGCAATTGTATGGAAGGAAGTTAGTGCTTTGGAATAGTTAAGAAGGCTTCAAGTTTTGAAGACTGCTCTGTGAAGTTGAGCAGTCATGGATAACTTAGAAAATTAGTCTGACAAGCTTTGCACTTTGGTCACATAAGTGCTCATGTACAAAGTTGGCTTAATGGATCTGCATATTTGAAGTATGCAGCTACAAATTTATCCTCTGAGAAATCTTCTGGGGAGTCTGATGTATTATTCCAAATGACTTATATTCTCAGACAAGTGCATTAAAATACATGGATTATCTCAAGCTGTTTAAAGGTAATAAAGTAAGTAGAAACACTTAACGGCCATTTTAAATGGTAAATTCTAGTTACATAAGTAGGATCTTACTATGTTTGTATCTATAACAGTGTTAGACCAAGCTTTGGTTTCTACCTCCCCAATGTTATAAATGTTCACTTTTGTTTTTATAAACCATATTTACTGTAAAATTAATGCAATTTTGCCTAACTGACTAAATGAATGGAAGCAATTAAATAAAAATTAATAGCTTTTTATAATGTTACAGTGAATTTTAGAAATTGTTTTTGGTGAAATTTTCATCTGTGTTTAGAACATTATGGAATCATAAAGCGTATATAATACTTTAGTTTTTTTGTTTTCTGCATTTTAAAATGCAAGAGTATATATCTTGTAGAACTGTGGGAGGAGAGAAAATCATTTTTCTACCTTACTCAATACTCTTACTTCCACTTGTTTTGGCTAGAGATTCCCTGAGCCGTTGTGGGTAGACTGTGCATAGCTGCGAGCGGTGACACCACTGTAACTGTTTCAGAGAGATTCATTTAGAAGTGAATGTAACCAGGAATGGAGGCTGTCAGGTTAGCTAGCCCTGAAAGTATGCAGTGGATCTTGGGAACAAATTGAGTTATATAAAATAGTGTCCCCATTCTTTGATTGGATTTGGGGTGTTGTGATGCTCCTACTTCCTGTACAGGTTTATGGGATCATGGTGCAGACTAACAGTAGGGTTCAAAATTACTTCCCTTTCTATTGACCATTTAAAGGATTCTAAAGGAGGGTAAATCTTAACAACAGCCTGAATTCATCCTTCTGAAATTTGCCCTGTGGCTTGCTGAGCTATCATTTGCCTTTTTATTAAAGCTAAGGAACTTGAATGCCTTACCTAATCACTCAACTGGTAGTAAGCTCATTTTGTAAATAGGAAAATGGTTGTTAGATGTGGCATTCATGTTTGTTCCATGTTAGTCAATAGACCATAGTGGCCTGGATGCTTTAACAAGCAAAATTCCACATTCCCTTCCCCTTTCCTCTTACATTTATGATTTTATCTGCTAAGTAATATTGAATTTTTTTTTCTCCTAACCCCATGCTACCATCATTTTCTGGAAGTCAAAGAGAAGTGGTAGTAAATCATACTGTTCACATGATCATCTGAGATCAATATGAGCACAAAACTCTTCAACTAGGTCTGCCTGGCATGTACATAAAACAGTGTAAATAAAAGTTTGTAAATTCTTGTGAATTGTACCTTGCATATGAGATTGTGTGTTGTTTTGCATTTTCTTCCCTTTTGTAGAAATTTTTCTGTCAGGAAATGATCCAGCTTGTTGGTTTTAGACTGGAAATAGCCAACAGTTCTGGCTGCACAGTGAGATAACAGGAACTGGAAATAGGGTTTATCAGCTTTGGTCAGTATCAGTACTTATTTATTTAGCCTCTCAGTGCCTAATAAGACTTTTCCATTTGTTAGTTGCCATTAATTTTTGTGAGATTAGATTTCTGGAAGCAGTGAATCTATATACTGTTATTAATACACATCCATTCTTTAAGTCACAACTCTAAGGTAAGAGAGACTAAATATGATTTAATGATTGCAAACTGAAGTATTGTCCTTTCCCACTTTAGGGTTATTTACATTTTCTACAAAAATCTTTGAAATTCACTGGGAATTTAAATCCCATATACATATAAGAGATAGGACAAATAATAGCACTTGCTTCAATTTAAGCATATCTCAGACAACCTCTAAAGTTTTTCATTGTATGGTTGTAAAAGACAGAAAGGACATAGGTAATCTTTTAATAACAACTATTGCTAGTTTTTTGCTAAAAATATTTACATTTCATTAATGTGTATTATTCCAGACTTTAGGAAACACCCCCCAAACACTCTCAGTTAAAAGCTTAATCCTCCACATTTAAAATTAATCATATATTTCTTTTTTATAGTACATAGCCTTCTGTACCATTTTATGAGTTCATTATTTTATAATACAATGAAAGTATTCGTCAGTTTGATTTTCTGCTTTAAACTTCTTTAAACCATTTTATAACTGCATGCAAAAAGTAATATAGACTTAAGCTTTTAATACTAATTATTCAGTTGGTAGACAAAGGTATCCATGCTTTGTGGTAGGAGAGTTTTGTTATTGGCAGCGTCTTGCACGACTTTATACACAAGGCAAATGCTAATGATTATTATGCACAAAGGAAAAAGAATTACAAGTATGTGTTAAAGTAGTTTTATCTTTATTTTGGAATTGATCTGATCTGGCTTTTCTTTGGTTCATTCTATTTCATAATGTCCCTTTACTGGGAAATTTAATTATATGTAAGGCGTTTTTTTGTTTTCGATTCTTTTAAAGAAAAGAAAATATTTGTTATATAGAGCTTTTTTTCTACTACATATATCACTTGTGTGAGTACAGTGTTAAGTCTTGGGTTTGATGTCTTTAGACAGAAAAATACATTATTTAAAGATTTCCCCATCTTTTGAAATCAGACAGTAAATGTTGCATTAAAAGAAAATACTTGAGGTTTGTGTTACTTTGAATATTAGAAAACTGAAATTATGAAGATGTTGAGTTAAAAATTCGCAGCAGTTTTTACACTAAAAATTTTCATTTCTGGGTCATAGTTATGGAAAGAAAACCTGAACCATTTGCATGAGAAAAAATAATGATAACTTTTAAGCACTATCAACTTCTATTTGAGCTATCTCAAACTCAAGTTTTTAGTATCCTTTCCTTCTGAAATTTTCTTTTGTGCCTTTTCTGTGCTTTATATACTTAGTATACTACGGGCGTTATAGAACAACAGGGTTAAATACCATTATATCTTTATTCACTCTGAATCCTATAGCTTTTCTAATTAAGAAAAAATATTCCTATCTCTAGCTCTCTCTCTCTTTTCTGTTGTTGTTAACATTTTACCCACTAAGGGTGTTTGGAATTAATCATTTTAACAAAATTCAAGATGTGTATAAAAATTGAAAACATTGTATACTTACATTTCAACTAGTCAGTGAAGAGTAAGAAATAACCTAGCTGATTGGAATTGTAGGCTGTTAGTTAAATTTCAAAACTTTTAATAAACTTTCAGAGATAGAGTGAAACCCAATTGTATCCATGTAAACTAGCTCCTGTGACTTGGAAAAGACCCCCCCAAAAAAGCAGTGGAGGAGATGAGAGTGTTTGCTTGCATAGTTTTAGTTGTGGTGTGTTGCTACTTAAATACAGGTAGTGACATACTGCAGTTTTTATTGTTCAATAATCTGAGGTAGTTTTCTGTATGTATCTACTAAAGTAATTATAAATGAATGGAATCTGCAAAGAAGAAACTTTTTGACTATACTGTATTTAGGAGCCTTTGTACAGCTAGGTCAAGTTTCTATGATACTGAAGTATTTGAATTTTAAGATGTACTATCATCCTAAGGAAGAAGACATATTATCCATGTGCAAGGAAAACAAAAAAAGAGTAATTGTCATCACATTAAGCTGTATGTTGAATTGGGAAATTGTGGCATAAAGCTTAAATTTGTGTTCATCAAATGTGAACTGTAGTAGTATAATGCTGCTTTGTATATACTGTAAGTGCTACAAATAGTCTCAGCACTGAACATGTATTGATACCTCTCAAATGAATGCAACCTTTGACGTGGGTGTTTCGATACACCTCAGACAGTATCTGAGTGAGAATTTGTTCATCTGTTTGCTAATGGAGATACTTCCTGTTTTTTCGTTGCATATTTTCATGTTTAAAATTTAATTTTTACATTATACTGCTGTTAATTTAAGTAAAATTAGTTCTGTGGATAAAAAGGCATTGCCTGTGAAGAAAATTTAAAAACAGCCTCATTCATGTAACTGCTTAAGTAAAAATACATTTTTGTTGTATGTTCATGAACTTTAAATGAAGCTGTGTTTTTCTGTTTAAACGTAATGTTCAGGTTTTATTTCTCATTAATAAAGCTTTTTACCATTGATTAAATGAAGGAATGTATCTTTTTGAAGAGATTTATATTCTGTAAATAAAAATTGGTTGTAACAATAAAGTTGGGTTCTAACTACTGTGTATCCATAATTACTTTTATTATGCCATTTTGTATTTTTATTTTGCAAAAAAAATACAAGACTTTATAACTGCACAATTTATAACAGCTAAATCTTGGAAGTAGCCTATATAACCATCAGTAGATAAATGGATAAAGAAAATGTATTTACACACAATGGAGTATGACTCTGCCTTAGAGAAAGATCAACTTACATTAGAAAAATAATTCAGTATTTATACGTGTGTCCTTTTTATTTTACTTAAATGTATGGTCTCATGGTGCACCCTCTAGTTTTAGTGTAAATGAGGGCTAAAATGTATAATAGATATTGTGAAATAGGAAGAAAATGTTCAAAGGGGAACTAAGGAGGGGGGTGGGGGAAAAGAAAGGGAAAAGAAAAAATGAAAGAAATAATGGAAAAACTTCTGTAGATAGGAGTGGAGAGTTGGAAGGAAGAGGAATGGGAAAAAAATAAGAACTAAGATGTGTAGATACAAATTCCCTAAGGTGAATGTTAACATAATCTACACCTAAATTGTACCAATAAACTCTTTAAAACTGAGTCATCTTTAGGGAAATAAATACACTTGGAGACCATAATGTTGAGTGAAATCAGATCCTCAAGCTTAAATTTCACATGATTTCTCTTACGTTAGAAGGCCAGATTATAAATAAAGAGCAAAATAAAATATAGACAAAAAACAAGCTAGATCTTGAATCAAGATGGAGGTGGGAAGGAGGGGAGGGAAGGAGGATGAAAAATGAAATCAAGATAGGTGTACCAACTTCACACAAATTAAATACTAATACAGAAAAGGATATATTTTGTGATCATGTTTTCTGATTTTTTAATATTTGTGGCTGTATTTGGAGAAGGACCTCTGAGGAGATAAGATTAAATGAGGTCAAGATTAGTGGTTTTTTTTTTTTTTTGGTACCAGGGATTGAACTGGGGTCCTGGCACTTGCAAGGCAGGCCACCGAACCGCTGAGCTCAATCCACAGCCCATCTGTTTTGTTTTTAAAAGCAGGGTCTTGCTATGAAGTTTAGGAAGGACTTGAACTCGCTATGTATCCCAGGGTGGTGAATTTGAGGTAATCCTGCTTTAGCCTCCTGAGTGCTGGGATTACAGGTGTATACCCCCATGCCCAGTCAGATTAGTGCCTTTATAAGAAGAGGCACCAGGAAGCTCCTCTGTGTTCACCCTTGCCAGGCAGGGCCAAGTGAACTCAACAGCAATAAAGTTGGTTGTTTACAAGTCAAGAAGAGAATCCTCATCAGTAACTGAATTGGCTAGCGTGATAACCATGGATTTCTAGCCACCAAAATCGAGAACATACATTTCTATTGTTTAGTCATACCCCCACCCTTCATTTTGTGTGTGTGTGTGTGTGTGTGTGTGTGTGTGTGTGTGTTTGGGGGATGGGGGCAGTCTGTACAAACTAATACAGATGGTAGGAACATGGGCTGTTTTATATCTTTGTTGTCAGTGTATGAGTGAATGTGTGTGTGGAGGATGGAGTTTAAAGGATGGGATTAAGGCATATAAATGTTTTACAACATATCTCCCTTAGCCTTCCCCTGCTATTTCTCTGTGGCTTTGTTTAGAGTCATGGTCCCTGGCTACGGCATCCCCAGTTTGTTTCTCTCATTTCCTACTGTGCCTACTCCTCACGCATGAAGGGCTTCGGTACCTGAGTATCAGATCCCACTGCTTCCCTTTCACCTTGACTGCCACCTCACAGACAGCTTAGCTGTACTTAAGAATGTCCCTTCCAGAAACTCAAAGTCCTTCATCTCTTCAAATTTCAGTGTTATTTATTTTCATTTTCATATCAATGTCCCATCTGCCTGGCCAGAGTTTGCCTCACTCATAGCTGAACCTGCACCTTTGAATTGTAAAAATATTATTATTCCAGGTTTTGGCTATGCTTACTTGTTCATCCAGGTTTACTTCTGTTTTCCTTTCCTTTCTTTTCTTTCTTTCATCTACCTTAGTTTTGCCTCATTAATTTTACCACTGTTTAACTTCAATCTTTCTGGGGTTTTTTTTTCCTATGTTGGTTGCCCTTATTAGCGAAGTTAATTGAATTTATTAATTTTAGTTTATCAATACCTATGGCAAATTTGTATCCCCTTACAGTAGAGAACTCATTTTGTGTGCAGCTGTGGTTAGCTGACAGGCTCCAGCTGTTAGCTCTTTCAGGATCTGCCTTATTCAAATTGACATCACACACTTTTCTGGGGGGACTGCTCTTCTCGGCAGCTTTTGCCGTGGACCTCCCCTTTAGTCTGGCAGTCAAGTGTCAGGTCTGCTTCATAGTCTGGAATTTCCTCCTGAGCAGTGCTACTTCCCTTTTCTTCACAAACCCTTGGCATTAGTTTCCCAGAAACCTAATCTGCAGCAGTTGGTCACAGAAGTGTTCTAAGAAGGCAGGTAGCTAAAATAGGAGTTTGGAGCTACTTCATTAAGAGTCAGTGTCCAGTTTACACTCCAAGAGGGCCCAGAGGGACTCCCTTAGCCAGGATCCCTTAGTGTGAGAGTCTCAGGAAAAGAACGCCTTGAAGTGAAGCTTCTATGGATTTTTATTGATAGAACTAGGAAGCAAGGGTAAAGGACAAAAGGACATCTGTGTAGGAATTCATGTAGGGGACAGGGAAAGGACAAGGAAAGGTATGTGGTCTTTTACATGACCTACCTTAGGGCTAATCTAAGTAATTTGAGTAGGAGGAGGACAAGGGGCAGAGCATACCATTCCTTAAGGCAGTGTGTTTTGATCCTACTTGGCCTGCTGCCCTGTAGGCTCGTTTATATCCATGCATTCTGTGAAATCTGGGCTGTGGCTGCAAAGGTATCTTTGCCCACCTACCTCACACGTACCTCTGAGCAATACCCCCATACCTTTCTAAAGGCACCTATAGCCACTGAGACTATACACTGAAGAAAGAGGAGTACCTGGAAACTTTGAGGTCTGTTAGACAAAGGGTCCAATTTGGTACTTACAACTAGAGACAGAAACATCACCCTGGCTCCCCTGTTACACTGAAGATGTTCTGGGAATGGACTACATTGAAGTCCTGCTCACATCTGGCTATACTGGGTTTATTGAATCCATAAATCTTTCTCATGATCATTTTTCCAGTCCA